AGTTTGAATCCCAGGAATGTCATTTCAACAAGCTTCATCCATATCAAATGTCTGCTATGATCATTACTGCTACCTAAGGAGTTGCACATGCCAGATCCTGCTTGGAGCACGTCATATACTTCACCTCAACCAGCCCTCACTGGGCTTCACGGGGGAAGTACTATTGCTCTCCGGGCTTGACAGGGGAGGACACTGAGTCCACGAGCCAGTCTGCTTTGCCCCAGGTCAGAAGTGAACATAGCAAAGCTGGAGTGCTGCGTGGACCTTGGACTCTGGATACCATGCTCTTCTCCATGGGTCCACAGCCCCTTTCCCCATGCTGTTGGGACAGCCTGGAGCTGCCGCAGTGACGAGTCTTGGCCTCTGGCCTTCAAGAGCTCAAACTCTACGGGGTAAAGAGGCACATAAATAAGTAGCTGAGAGATGATGATGAGCAGGAGGAGGAGGAAGAGGAAGGAAAGGTGAAGGGAAGGGAAAGTCACAATGGGGGCGACCAGGCCGGCAGGGGAGGGCCGTGAAGCCTCTGCTGTACCATCAGGCATAACCTCGCAGATGAGACTGCCCGGCCCCACGCCCTTATCCTTGCAGGTGCAGCTACTCTGCCTTCATGACATTATCTGCAAGACAGGCGACCCCTCGCACCACCTCAAAGCCTGCTGTGAGGGGCAGAAGTGGAACCACGCGAGGTATTCAGAGCCTGTGTTAGGATAATTTTGACGAGGGAGGAGTAGGTTATTATAGGGACTGAAAAGATCAGGAAAGTCTTCTTGGATAGCTTTAGGTTCCAGCTGAGCCTAGAAAGAAGAGTTGTTATTTGAAAAACAAAAAAAACAGCTAGAGTCTAGATGCAGCCAACAAAGCGCTTTTCAAACAGCAGGAGCAACTGGGAAATGAAACAACAAACAGAACACATCCCACTTCAGGGTGTGGTATGTGGGCTGATGGATTAAGACAGAGATGCACAGAGATTCCAAGAGAAGTAGAGAAAATAAAGCTGGAAACCGAAGTGAGACATAGGTCCTAAGCTGGAAAGGTATCTTTAGATACCTCTGGTCATAGGGTCTGAGCATTGATTTTCTGTTACCTAAGTGAAAAGTTATTTCTTGTCTCATAATCCTGTTTTTCTTTCTATTTTAAATTTAAAATTTGAATTATAAGCCTATAATACCTCAGTAGCTCCAAACTATATATTTTTGTTTTTCTATGTCTGCCTGGAGCACTTATCATGGTAAAAAAAAACAAAGAAATCAAAACACAACAAAAAACAAATTCAATTAAGTGCACAACACAAACACAAAATATAATTACATAAAAATCATACTGGTAGGCTGTTATGCTGGATTTTAGGGCATTTGCTGTCTGTTTTACAGTTCATGAAACAATTCTTAACAAAATCAATCTCAACAGGAAGAGATAACCTAAACTGTCATAGGATAATGGTTTCAATTGTAGTATGAATTATTAACTTCATGTAAAACTTCAGAAAAAAAGTTTGAGCGCCCCCTTGTGGTAATACATTTTCAGATAGGAACTCAAATCCAAATTCTTTTGTGTTTGAGCGACACAGGAGAGAAATTTATTTATTCATTCATTCATTTATTTATTTATTTATTTATTTTCAGACAAAAAGACCAGGAAAGCCCTGAAAAATGTTTTCAGAATGTGCAAAAGAGAGCTGTTTATTTGAAGGACATTGAATATCAGAAATATCAGAGCGTACACTGATGGTCCTTGGACAGCATCCTGCTGACAGATGGAGTGTGTGTGTGTTAATGTCTGCTAATTATTAACATTTAAAATATTCTAGTACATGGTGTAAAAATCCAGGTTTCCAGTTTCTCTTTAAATATCGGAAGATCTGGGAGCCCTGAGTCTGCAATAATTAGCTAGACCCGAGTAGCTCTCACTCCAGGACAGTTCTCATTTCACCACATTTCTACTAGACAAATTCACTTACTGTGTTACCCTCTTGGCTGCTTTTGGCTTGTGGGTTCATGATCCCTGTCAAAGCAGGAAGTACATAGCAAAAGACTCCAATGTGGAAAGAGCACAAATGTGGGAAAAGGATTCTTCTGGTTCCCAGCTTTGTCCATTCCTGGCTGGGCCACCTTGAGCAAAAACAGTCTGTATCACTAAGCCGCTGCGTTCTTGCATTCTCATCATTTCTTGTATTTAGCCAATCCTACTTTTTTTTTTCCTTTTAACTAAATAGCGTAAAAAGAGAGCATGTAGAGCAGGTATGGATTATATTCAACACTTTTTTTAAGTGATGTTTATTTCTCTAAAACAAGGGAATTATGATTGAGCTTTCAACTATCTAGTTCATAGTGATTAAACACCTTGTATGGAGTCCCGCCCACTCCCCATGGGGTCTTAAGCAATCACAACCGTTCAAAGCAGTGCCCTCTGGTGGACCCTTTCTTATCAGTTATGTTTCTGTTTCCACTGAAGTGTCACCTTCTCAGACAAGCTTCCCTGATTACCTTGCTACAGCAGCCTTCCCAGCCACTCTATCACATTTAACTCATTTCACCTTTTTTCTTAGTCATTGTCAGTAGCAGAAGTTGCTTGCTTCATTTTTAAACATTTACTCTTGTGTTTATTCAGTGTGTTTTTGTGATGGTTTCTTGTCTGCATCCTCTTTATGGAAAAAGATCTGTGTGTTTAATGCTGGGTTTCCAGAACCTAGTACAGTGCCTGACACTAAGTGCCCCACGGATAGTTAGGCACTTCGTAGGGTAGTGCTTCCCACCCTAGACTGAAGACTGGTTGGTTCTATATATTCCTACTTGTTAAATACAGGGAGATTAGACCCAGTCAGAAAATGAATAATGATAACAACAACAAAAATCACATGCCAATGGGTAACACTTTTAGTCGGGAACATCAGGAACAGCACTTGAACTCAAACTTTGGCCCTCACTCCTAGACCAGTGCTCTTCCCCTCCACCACTCAGCCCCCACAATTATCTAGTCGCCTGCTGAGTTAAGATACGTGGGGGCCTATCTGTGCTATAGGTCCAAACGGCTGTTTTCGCTGGGTCTTATCTATTGTCCCACTAGCAGGGGTGGGCAAACTTTTTGACTCGAGGGCCACAATGGGTTCTTAAACTGGACCCCGGAGGGCCGGAACAAAAGCATGGATGGAGTGTTTGTGTGAACGAATATAAATTCAAAGTACACATCATTACATAAAAGGGTACGGTCTTTTATTTCAATAGTTTTATTCATTTCAAATGGGCCGGATCCGGCCAGCGGGCAGTAGTTTGCCCACGGCTGCACTAGGGGCAAACAATCCCCATGGAATCACCTCATTCCACATTCAGTTGCGATCAGTTGAAATTCCAGCCGTAGCTCCTTTTGCAGCAGGCTGATTTTCATCTGCTGATGAACTATTTCAGGGTCACTTATGTGTTTCTGAATTCCATCTCAAACACATTTATTAACTCTGAGGTCAATAACCCAAACACCTTGCCCTTCAGACCTATCTCTATGTGGCTAATTCTCATCTCAGTGGTGCCCTTAATTACTTCACAGGGTTTATATGATGGTCAAGCAGAAAAATTAATTATACCACGACTGCAAATATTTTGAGCTCCATAAAAACAAGAATGACAACCATGGTTATCGCTGAGCACTAACTACATCCTAGGCACAGTACTATATTCTATGCAAGCTTTATCTCTTTTAATCCAAATAGAGAAGCTCTATGGAGTAGGACTCTTATTATCCCTATTTTTAGAGATAAGAAATTTTGAGAGGTTGAACAATTTCCTTAAAGTCACATGACATATGTTCATATTTGCCTATTTTAAATGAGGATGAACATTCCCATAAAATGTTTGGTTGACCAACAAAGAAAACATCAAGGTGTAATTGCTGAATTATGAGCAACAAAGTGAATAACATTTTGTGCCTCCTGACCTGCAGTATGGAAGCAAAAGATACCTTCTGTAGCTCTAACATTCTCACTAATATTGCAAGCCAGCACTGAGCCCTGAGCTCAGCTGAGCCATTCAGATACGAAAGTATGAACCAAAGCCAAGTTAGAATGAGCTAGTTATGTTTATACAGCACCTACCTTCAAAAGTTTCAAAGCTTTGCAAAAATATCAGAAGTCGTATTAACCAATTTTCTTTTTCCGTTGCAAATACTGTATTCCTGTTTTCAGTAGAAACCAGTCAGCACAGAGAATAAAGCTGGGGGGCTCCTTCTTTTGGTGCAATGCTTAGTTGAGTACAGTCTCACCCTCCCCCAACAACCTCCAGAACCCTGCAAATCCTGACCCAATGTTTCTACCTACTGCAATGGGCAGTAGGTATTTTGTGGTTGGTTGTTTGTTATTGTTTTTTTCTATATAAAAGGAGCACAATTATATTCTATCTCAATGGAAATCATAAAGTTAGGACTTTGCTTTCCCTTTGAAGATCAAGGCATCCAAAATAGCTGCTAATTAATAATTATCCAGCATATTGGTGAATATATTTTACTATCTGAAGTATTACATAATCTTTAATTACTCTTTCCATTTCTTTCTCATCACTTAACTTAAGCATAATGTGCTAGCTGGTGCAGAATATGTTTGTTTACAAAAGAAATCCAGTTAATAAAATGGACTATAATAATGGGGTCTTATTAAAGAGATGTATCTAGACCCACAGATTATGTCCATGTACTAGTCGGGAAATATTTTCAACAACTGTCTGGAAATTGAAAGGGTAAAATTTTCTAAAAATGCTAACTTAAATAAGGTGGGTACTTAGGTACAATGAAAATCAAACTTATTTTTAATTTATAGACAGTTGGAAATTGTATACTGTAAGCATTTGTTCAAAAAGTGCATTGCTCTTAGGAGGTGAAGTCCTTGGGGGACAGTTTGTCATCGCTCATCATCTTCCTTACAAATTAGCTCAAGAATAAGGGAGTGAAATTCACATTGTAAATCTGGCAACACACATAAACCAATTCCCTAATCTTATTACTGCACAGTACACAAATGATCCACGTAAAAATAAGCACTCGCTTTATTAAATCATCTTCATTATAATCTAATGAGACAATAAAATCAGCATGTCAACAGATAATTTCATTTCTTACATCATAGTAATATTTTCATGCAGATAACAGAAGTTTTTGTTTCACAATGCAACTGCTGTAAGTTAAATTGATTCAATTTAATTAACAAGCATTTATTCAGTGCCTACCTGTGCACAGCACTATACTAGGCATACAAAAGAGATAGAAGACAAGATCCCTGCTCACTGGAAGCTTACAATCTGGACAGGAAAGATCCACACATACAAGAAAGAATAAAGAACCATTACAATGCACAGGAAAGTCAATACATTAATAAAATCTGAATTAAAAACACAAGAGCCCAAATGCAGATGATCAAGGGAGTAGTACAGTTGGGAATAAAGACTAGTCTGGATAATTTGACCAGAGGAAGCAAGCCTTGAATTTGGTACGATGGAAGTAATGAGCACATGGATTGCTAGAGGAACAGGGGGATCATTCTATGGCCAGTAAAAGATAGAAAAGAAGGAGATATTCAAAGACAGGGTAATACAAACCAGCAAGTCAATTGCAGGGAATGGCAGGCAAATTGGCTCACCTCTGGAAAAGGACAGAGTTAGGAGGTGTAATGGAAGTCACACAGGCCGGCTAAGAGCATTCAAAGTCAAGTTAAACTTTAAGTAAATAATAATGCTTGAGCACATCTATAAACTGAAGCTCCACCCCCCTATGAGACTGTTTTCCTAACCTTAACAAAAAGCAAAGCAAAACTATGCAATATGAGAATCTAAACGCAGGAGATAGGATCATTGGAGGTCCAACGATCAGACTGTGATACAATAGCAATCATTTGTGCTGTCTTTTATTTATTTATTTTTTACTCATAAAAGCTGGGTTGTCTAAGACCCATGTACTTCCTCAGCCCTGTGCTGATCTGGTCCCTAATTCACTTAGATATTTCTTCTACAACAGCCATTTTATTTCATATTAAATCCAGCAGCAAATAAAAAGGCCTTGGGTATATATCTGTGTGGGTCATGGGGGGGGAGACAGGCAGAAAATAAAAGAGAAAACAGGGGGTTGGTTTCAAACTGTGAGTTAAGGAATGCTTAACGTGAGTACTTTATGGAGATGTTTCTAAACTTGGAAAAAGAAGCTACAGTAGCCCGGCTCCCAGGCCAAGAACACTAAGGCAGAAGAAATGTACAAAGTGAAATGAGCGTAAGGTTTCTAAATTAACCGATATTGCTGAACCACATGCTCCTTTAAATTCAATTTGTTAGAGAAAAAGATGTCAAGGAAATGGGTCAGGGGACAAAATGGCGGTGCAGGAACAAATCCTTAATGTGGATTAAGGTGGAGATCCTTCTTGTCTCAGGAGGCCTGGTGATGACTTATTGACCAGTCTGACCTTGATAATCCTTCAGGGTTAAAACAGGAGCACAGCAACTCCACCATGCTTGTTCTCTGGGCCTTCACATAAGTCACTGCCCTCAAACAGCGAGGAGAAGAGTACTTCTGGGTCCACAGCATATCTGTGAGAGCTACTGGCCACCAGCAGCTGCAGCTGTTAAAAGCAAAGTAATTAATTAATAATAAAAGAGAGAGAAGATGAGGAGGAAGCATATAAAGATACTGCTTTCAATGTGCTTATTGATTCTGAATGAGGTATCCTGAAATCCATATTTTCCAAATGTGCTGCACATTGAGGGTTTTTTTTAATTAATCAAAAATTTTTAAAAATTTACTTTTATTGACTTCAGAGAGGAAGGGAGAGGGAGCGAGACAGAAACATCAACGATGAAGAGAGAATCATTGGTAGGTTGCTTTCTGCATGCCCCCTACTGGGGATTGAGCCTACAACCCAGGCATGCACCCTGTCCAGGAATCGAACCCTGACCTCCTGGTTCATAGGTTGATGCTCAATCACTGAGCCACACCAGCTGGGCCAGTTTCCTTTTTTAAGGTTATTTTTTAAATCTTTATTGTCGAGAGTATTACAGTTGTTCTCCTTTTTCCCCATTTCCTCCCTCCATCCAGTTCCTGCCCCACCCCAAGCCTTCACCACCCTATTGTCTATAAGTAATACATATCTATAATAGTAAAAGTATAATATGCTAATTAGACCAGACATCCTTCTGGACGTCCTTTTGGACAACCTTTTGGACCAAGCCGCAGTGGGGGCTGAGGCAGAGGCAGGCGGCCACCACGGCAGGCGGGGGCCAAGCCCCTTGCACGAATTTCGTGCACTGGGCCTCTAGTATACATATAAGTTCTTTGGTTAATCTCTCCCCCCTCATACTCCTTTACCTCTGAGATTTGTCAATCTGTTCCATGTTTCCATGCCTCTGGTTCTATTTTATTCATCATTTTATTTTGTTCATTAGATTCTACATATAAGTGAGATCATGTGATATTTGTCTCTTTCTGATTGGCTTATTTCACTTAACATAATAATCTCCAGGTCCCTCCATGCTGTCTCAAAGGGTAATAAGTTCTTTTTATAGCTGCATAGTATTCCATTGTATAAATGTGCCACAGCTTTTTTATCCATTCATCTACTGAGGGACACTTGGGCTGTTTCCAGATCTGAACTATTATAAATAATGCTGCTATGAACATAGGGATGCATATATTTTTCTAACTGGTGTTTCAGGTTTCTTAGGATATATTCCTAGAAGTGAGATCACAGGGTCAAATGGGAGTTCCATTTTTAATTTTTTGAAGAAACTTCACACTGTTTTCCACAGTGGCTGCACTATGTTTCTCTTTCTATCCCTTCCTCTCTCTCCAAAAAGTTAATAAAAAAAACATCCTCAGATGAGGATTTAAAAAAATAAATAAATAACATAAATAAATAAAAATGGACAAAGAACCTGAATAGACATTTTTCCAAAGATGCATACAAATGGCCAAGAGGTACATAAAAAGGCGCTCAACATCGTTTAATCATCACAGAAATGAAAATTAAAACTGCAATGAGATACCTCTTAATACCTGTTAAAATGTCCGTTACCCAAAAGACAAGAGAAATACTGAAGAGGATGCCAAGAAAAGAGAACCCTTTGTGCACTGCTGGTGGGAATGTAAACTGGTGCAGTTACTGTGGAAAACAGTATAGAGATTCCTCAAGAAATTAAAAATAGGACTATCATATGATCCAGCAATCTCACTTCTGGATATATATCCAAAGAAAATGAAATCATTAATCAATATTCCCACATTTGCTGTTGTATTACTCACAATAACCAGGGTATGCAAACTACCTAAGTGTCATCTATGGATGAATGAATTAAAAATGTATATATACTAATATATACATACATACATATATATAGTTGAAATACAAATACATAATACAATAATCTATAATAATAAACACATAATATGCTAATTAGACCAGATATCCTTCTGGACGACCTTCTGGATGAAGCCGGGCCTGTGAGAGAAGCCCAGGTCCCGGATGCTGGAGGGAAGCTGGTGCCAGCAGCCAGGGGAAAGAAGGCCTACTCTCTCACGAATTTCGTGCATCGGGCCTCTAGTTAATTAATAAATAATAAATAATTAACTGTTTATGTACTGATAACTATAAACTGACTTTTGCCCACCCTGTGTGTGTGTGTGTGTGTGTGTATCCCAATGTCCCAATGGAATAGTATTCAGCCTTATAAAAGAAGGCAATTTTGCCATTTGTGACAATATAGATGAAACAAAGGGACATTATGCTAAGTGACATAAGCCAGACAGAGAAAGACAAACACTGTATGGTATCTTTTATATGTGTAATCTAACAACAACAACAAACTTGACCTCAGAGAAAAGGAGAGAAGAATGGTGGTTGTCAGCAGCATGGAGGATGGGGGAAGAGGGAAAGGGTGGTGAAAGGGTATGAATTTTTAGTTATAAGATGAATAAGGTCTGGGGCTGTAATGTACAACATGGTAACTGTATATAATACTGTATTGTATAACTGAAATTTTCTAAAAGAGCAGAACGTAAGCGTTCTCATCAAAAGCAATCAAAAGGTAAATATGTGAGATGATGGATGTGGTAATTCACTCGAAGGTGAGAATCCTTTCATAATGTATGTGCTCACCAAATCATTACATGCACACTTTAAATGTATTAAAATTTTATTTGTTAATTATACCTCAATAAAGCTGAAAAAATTTAATGCATTTAAGAAAAAAGTGGCTTAGTGACAAAAAAAATCGAAGGAAAACATAACTAAGGATATAGCTGCATTCAGTCCTGGCCCAGGAGCTCAGCCAGCATGAAAGGAGAACCACGTTGAAAGAACCATAGGAAAATGCAGCTCAGCTCTGATCGCGTCTAAACTTAGGGCACAATGTGGCCTGAAGCCATATAACCACTCTCCTGTCCACCTCTGTGCACCAGTACATTTCTCTTTTGTTCTGCTTAAACCAGTGTAGGAGGTAGGTAGGAGGGAAAAGAGGTTAGAAGGGAAACATTGAAAAAATGTTCACTGACCTTCTTAGGCATCACTTTTCCATGTGGAACACAAAGTAGAGTAATTTTGACAAATAGAAATATGCTTGACTCTAATATTTTAAAAATTAATGAGATTAAAAAGGAAGGTTAATGAATCAGAAAAGGCTTTGACAATCAATGGTGGTGAGCTCAGAGGACCCTCATGGGATACTCCCAGTGTGTCTTTCTAGGTACAAAAATGGTCCACATGGGCAGGAGAGAGTCTGCATGTGTATCTATTTGTATATGACTATATAGTGGGGTTTTTATTTTTATTTTCAGTCATTTTGCAAGATCACTTTTCTGTCACTACTGCTGAGTTTACATCCTGAATGTTTCTTTCTCCCGCTGGGACAACAAGCAAACCCCCAGGAGAAGATGCCTGAGAAGGGCTAGGAGGGCGGGCAGCAGGATGGGGGATGATTTGCTTAGTAAGGGTAATTATGCCACTGGCAGCAAAGCCCCATTTAAAGAAAGAAAGACAAAAGATCATACTGTTTGTAGGCAAAAAAGAAAATTGCAAACAGAAACACATCTCCAACCTGCTCGAGCCGCTGCCATTTTCTTGTTTCGCAGTTTGTTCTCCAGAGCTTGCTGCACAAAGGAAACGGTGGAAGAAAAACATGAAATTTGCGGGTGTTTTCCACTACTTCCGTAAAGGCAAAGGTGATGATTCTGTGAAATACATTGTAACCTACCTGTTTCATCTTCTTTTGTAGATCCAGGTTGGCTTGCTTCTGGCCCTTTGCGGTAGCATTCAGATAATAGATGGTCAAACTATATTTTTTAAAAAGATAACATGTACGGCATTTTTTTCAGTTTCTCAATATTCCTCTTAAATTTACAGTCAGTCATAGAATGTTGGCACTGGAGTAGACTTTAAGGTATTTTCTACCCTACACCTCTTATTTTGTAGATAAAAGACTGGGTGAGCCCTAGCCCCTTTGGCTGAGTGGATAGAGTGTCAGCCTTGGGACTGAAGGGTCATGGGTTCAATTCCAGTCAAGAGCATGTATCTTGGTGTCATCAATGCTTCTCTCTCTCTGTATCTCTCCCTCCCTTCCACTCTCTAAATATCAATGGAAAAATATTTTCGGGCAAGGATTAACAACAACAACAACAAAAAAGACTGGGTGAGGTGCAGGAGAGGTTAAAGAAACACACTCAGTTACTCAGTTACACAGGGACTGGGAAGGAGTGGACCTGGGAAGTTGACCCTCAAATCCTGTTCCCCACAGCCAGGGGCTCTGCTCACTGTGTCTCACTACCTAATGTTAGCCTCTTTTTGGAAATGTATTAACATCAGTTTAAATTATAATTGAATGTAACATTTTAAATGGACGTCAACGGCCTCCAAGACAATGGACTATCTACTGATGCTTAGGGAATGTGTCAAATAAAAAGGAAACTGACTTTTTGCCTTAAATGCCTTCCTTTGGCTTTTATAACTAAGAATATAATCCTCATAGGCATAGTTAACTAAAATGATTTTTTTTCCATCGAATGTATTGTTTGCATTTCTCCCTCCTTCGAAAAGAAGATGCATTACAAAGGAATATTCTTGCCTTTAAAGTGACATTTATGTTTCTAGAAAGAGCGGATTCCAGCCAAACATTGCAGCAAAAATCAATATGCTCATCTTTACTTAAAGCAAAACAAATAAATAAAAAGAAAGAAACAATGCAATAAAAAAAGTAACTGGCATTTCTCTTTGTTGCAAATAACTGGATACTGAACACATTCCTCTGCTCACCAATGTGCCAGATTATATCCTTTGTGAGCCATCTGGTGCTGGCAACACAATTAATGATATGGTTTAGCTGAGTTTGTTTACCTCTTATGTGAGTGGCAGGAGTTTGAATGAAATTACATACATGAAAGCATTAGGTACAGTATCTGGCATAAAGTAGGTGCTCAACAAGTGTGTGTGTGTGTGGGGGGGGGGTGTGCGTGAGTATGTGTGTTGTCTATAATAATAAAAGCGTAATATGCAAATAGAATGAATGGCCAATAGTGGAACAACATCCAGACGCCCTTCTGGACGACCTTCCAGATGACCTTCTGGATGAAGCCGAAGCTGCGAGGGCCAAGGCAGCCGGGGCTGCAAAGGCCTACTCTTGCATGAATTTTGTGCATCGGGCCTCTAGTAGTAGTATAAAGCTTTTCTTAGAATAGTGCCCAGAGTAGGAGTGGAAACTCAGAGACCTCACAAGTCATTTGCAGTTCTGGATTTCTCTGTTTATTCTCCACTTTTTTCCCCATCTTGTGATGTACCTGAGAACTGAAATTAACCTTGCAGTCTCTCTATTTGACCTTCTATCCTGCCTGCTTTCCTCTAGACCAGCGGTTCTCAACCTGTGGGCTGCGACCCCTTTGGGGGTCGAATGACCCTTTCACAGGGGTTGCCTAAGACCATCGGAAAACACCTATATAATTACATATTGTTTTGTGATTAATCACTATGCTTTAATTATGTTCAAATTGTAACAATGAAATTGGGGGTCACCACAACATGAGGAACTGTATTAAAGGGTCATGGCATTAGGAAGGTTGAGAACCACTGCTCTAGACCTAGTCACACTATACAAGGTGGGCGAATGGTGGCCTCCAGGGCAAATCTGATTCTTGGCCTGTGTCGTATGGCCCATGAGCTAAGAATGGTTTTTATAAGAATTTATATAATAGCCTCAATTTTACTTCTTGGTCCACAAAGCCTAAAATATGTACTCTCCAGCCCTTTAAGGACAAATCTGCTCACTCTGGGGATAGAGTATCCCTGACAAGTGGCCTCCAGTCCTCCTGAACTTGCCCATTCATCCTAAACTCAGTGCTTGGTTCTTATGAGTGGGGGGAATAAGAGGTGGGAAATAGACATGCGTTTGAATCCACTTATTAGCCATTAGATTTGGGGGAGATCTTCATGTGCTATTGATAATACGATCCGTGATCGATAATAATTCTTGTGCAAATTAAATGAGTTAATATGTGGGTCAGCACCTGTAGCAAAGGCCATTTTAGCTCCTCTTCACACCCCAAGACAGCTTATTAAAGACTTAGTTAGTGGCACTGAAACAATATTGCTCCTTTGCTTAGAAATAAATCCATCAACTAGTTAAGAATATAGTCCTAAATCTGACATTAAGTTGTGTGTGTGTGTGTGTGTGTGTGTGCGTGGTAAAATGAGATCTCATTTATACCATCAAAGGGCTTTGACTTTTAAAAGCTGCAGGATACATAACATGTTCTCAGAAGCCGCTCTATTGTGAAAACATGGAGCAGGAAAACTCGCTTCAAGGCCATCTGGGGACACTCGCTGCCTCCAGCTTGTCATTTTTCAATACATCTGCCCCAGAGATTTACTATCGGGTCCTAAACGCCACCCCATGACCCAGGTTCTAGTGTATAATAGGAATCTGTCCAATAAGAATAAAAAAATATCTAAGCTGTAGTATCTTACTTTCTTAAAAATTAGAATGGGATTTTGCAGAAAAGTTTCAGGCATCCAATTGAAATGAAACAAGTTGAGCCCAATTTCATTTAACTGAAATATTAGTCTCTAAAAAAATAGTCATCTCTTTTCCTGTTTAGTTATCCCCACAGGCTAGCACCTCTCCCTCAAAGAAGGCGTCATTGTGTGAAGGGGTGAATGTTGGATTTACGGTCCAAGTCCTACAATTAGTATTTTGCTCTGGTCTCACCTAGGGAAAATCACTTCCCCCTCTAAGTCAGTTTCTTAATTTATACAATTGAAGAACATAGCACTTGCCTTCGTTGATGTGGCCCATGACCGTGACCATCACTAAGACATGGGAACAAGGTGCCTCAGACCCAGCTCATTTACCTCGAACCATTGGGAGGTGTCTCACTAAGATTTCTTAGTTTTCCTTTTATTGAAACAAATCCAACCCGTATGTCAGCTTTGTTTCCGGTGTCCCTGAGGATGGTTTCATACGTGCCCTCCTTGACTGAGAGCAGTGGCAGTTCCAAACGTTCTACTGAGGAAGGTCTTGGGGAATAACGGTAGCTCTTCCATAGCAAGCATATATTTTTACTTAGAATCTAAGTTTATCTGTGGTGGCCAAGAGTCAGAAGCCAGTGAAAGGAATATGGAAACAAAATCTCCCTCTCAAGTTCTCCTCTAAGTATCACCTCTGACTTTAAAGGGACCGACTAGGTGACCTACCCAAGACCCTCTGGTCCTCTGGTTCTATTACTATGGACACACAGTTACTGATGGCTTCCGAAGTACCAGGACACGGTGATTTTTTAAGACCCCATAAGCCCTGATCCCTGAAATAGATTCCCAAGGGGAATATTGGCTTAGAGGCTCATCACTTCTGTGTGTTCACAGCCATCTGCTTTATGGAACAAGGGTGGGGGGAGGGAAGCTCAATGTGCTGATTAGATCTAGCATTTAGCCTTTATGTTTCCCTTGCTTTTAGCTGTTTATCGATAATTATTATGGTTACTTGGGAACAAATCTTATAATCCCAGGCAGGCAAAGACAGATGCAGATGGCTGTGTATTATGTCCAAGAGGATCTGAATATGGCTCATAAACGTTAGCGTCTCACGACCATGTGAACCAGCACTGAATCTGGTTAGGCTGTAGCACAGCCCTTGGAGAGAGTGAGAGCAGAGAAAGCTGAAGCTGAAAGGAAGCCAGGAAGCACATGACAAAGGCTCTTTCCATGAGGAGAGAGAGCACTTACACCATAACCAAAACCACAGCAATGACCAGTCCAGGATTAGAAAGCTGTCGCAAGATCTTCGCCATCCAGCTCGGGAAATCATGCTCCAGTGTTTCTCCAATGACTTCGAACATCCTATTTTTGCCACTGGAGAAAAAAAAAAGGAGATAAGTTTATTTAAAACATATGGGAACCATGGTTACAGAAAAAAAGAAGAAAACTAGAAATCTTTCGCAAACACGACCTAAATACTCTTTAAGGTTAGGAATCTAATGTTTTGCTGTAACTTCTGATACTTTGACCTCATATTGTCAACATATGGATAAGATGTGATCAATTTGATCCCAACATAAACACATAATCAAAGCCTGTAGGAAATTTGCCACAGAATCAGGAGACAAATTTTAAAAGCTGTATGTCTAAGATTTTGATTGAAATGTGTTTTATAAATAGCTTATCAGTCTACCCCCTCAGCCAGCTTTCCTTGTAAAAGAACACTCTCTTTGGGCTGAATAAACAGTGCACTCAGTTTTTTAATTTGCTGTGGAGATGAGCATAAGGAATAGCTTAATGGAATCAAATCTAAAAATAACCCAATACATCTTTCCATGCAATAGCTTCTATCTCATTTTCCACCGAACCTTCTTCATGAGAGCTATTAATAGGTAACCACAGAGTGATGAGTCCTTTCTCTCTCTGTATTTCTTCTGGACAGGTCTTAAAAAGTACCAACCCAGTTCCACTGCCAAGCACATAAAATGGGAAGAGAAGGAAAAATGAGCTTTAAAAGCAAAGGTCCTAAATGGGCTGGTTCTCAACCCATTAAAATGAGACCAAAACCCTATAAACCAGAAAAAATGAGAACAGATGTCTGTCTTAACTTAGTACGTAATATTAAAATTATAAAGTAATATCCATCCTGCTAACTTATTTTTGGTTATGCATATTGATTTTACTATGAAAAGATGTAATTTTCAGAAAAGATCCTAGGTGTTTTTATCACCACGTTTTATGTATCCTCAGAATAATGGTTGGTATAACACAATATAATATTTTGGTTTCACTATCTTTTTATCTTTAAACATTCTCAATTACTAAAAGAACATGACCCACAAGGTGCAGATCAATTTCTTTCTCCTGATCTAATAATATTTTCCAATAGCCTGAGAATGACTCCAATTATGTTCTCAGGTTTGGCTGGACTACTGAGGTATAAATTTTGCTTCACAAATTATAGAGCTCCACACTAACTAGAAAAGCCTAAGGTACATAAAGGAGAATGAAGTTTATAGACAAGTTAAGATGATAATAACTTATTCCACTAAAGTTTATTATCTTCAAATATCTGTATCCCAGCCATAGAGAATACAGCCGCTGTAAAAAGGTAAGCAAGGGGGAGAGGAGATAAGACAATCTACTCTCCCTTCTCCAGCTTGTCCAGCTGTGCTAATGAATGTGGTTAGAATGGGAAGCAGGGATTGGAATCATACAAAATATTCCATACCTACAAAGGTCTTTGCATCCTAGTGTGTCCCAAGTGCAAAGTTATTGGCAACTTTGGGGATTCATGGATAACTTTTCTAGGTCAGGTCTCTTATCAAGAATAGAGATCTATTAATTTTATACCAACTAGAGAAGCATATATAAATTCTCAGCAATCCCTTTTTCTGACAGGTAAGCCAACATATGTCACTTCACCATATTCCCAGAAATCCTTTCCAGTCTGCTGTGACCATAAAGTCAAGTGAAATGCTAGTGCACTTACCCTATAGTTTTCCCATGAACATAGCTCCATTAGCCCTACGTCGGTCCAGTCTAAGAGCACACCTGTCTTTCCAGCCAGACTGAAAGCTCTGCAGGATGAAAATCTATGCCCACGTCAATCCCACTTCTGGCTTCGTGTTTAGTGCACAATTCATTAATTCAAGCTATTAGCTAACACTCTACTGTGTTGTGGACTCAGAAAGATGAAAACATTCCCCCTTCTGGGAGTCAGCTACATTATTAAGAAAAATAGGCACATAGAATAGTAGGATTGCAAATGAGTGATGTAATAATAGTGTCACAATACAATATAAACCTAAACATATTGTATGATCTCACTTATTTTTTAAAATCTGCATTAAAAGAAAAACGGAATACAAAATACCAAAGTTGGTATGTCAGGACTTTGTGGGTTATGGATAGTTTTGTATTTTGGGTTGTTGTTTTTTTCCATGTGAAAATGTTTCTAAAATTTCCAGGTTTTTTAGTACAAACACATATAACCTTTGCAGTAAGGTGAAAATATATAAATACTTAATTGCCATGATGTTAGCAGGGAGGGATATGAGAACTTAGAGAAGTAGAAATTTTTCAAGATTATTAATGAGGGGGCTGGAGGAGAAATATCAAGTGTCAGGAAATATGGTGGAGTAATTAGATGGTTCTTCTTCATCTGAACACCAAAAAAATAGTTTTTAAATTATTGAACTGTTTAAGATAAATCCACGTAATAGTCTATTGGAATGATTTTTCTGGGAAATTCACCCTCCCTAGCTAGGTCTTGAGAAACCAAAACAAGCTAAACTATCTCATCAAACGGCTTTGCAGAATGGATCTTCTTAAGTATTGTAGCCACCATACCTGAAAATATACCTGCATCTAGGAGCAACTAGATGGTGTCTCCATTAGCCTACTTCAAATGCATATTTACCAACTGGCTGCCAGCCCAGGAACCAGGAAGTGTCAGACACCCTTTACTCAACAGGCTGGGCAAATCGCCTGAAACTCAGGGTCCCTAAGGATGGTAAATCATGAGGCTCCTTCATTTTCACCTAATTTCTAAGGCTGAACAGCCCTTTTAAACTTTTAAGTCCGAACAAATTTTTCAAAGTATATATTCTTTTTCCCCCAAGTGAGAAAACTGGCAGGAAAAATAGACTCTCTAAATAGGATAGAGATAACCCTTCCCCAATACTCTGTTGAAAATATTTAAATTTTCTTGATCACAAAATAGTGATATATATTTAGTAATTTTGCCCAAGTTTTCCAATTAGAAAATACTTGCTCAAAATCATATATTATGCCTTAAACACAGACTGATTTTTTTTTTCATTACAACCATAGTAACTCGTGATATAAAGAGAGACAGAGGAGTTAGAGCTCAAAAATATAAAACTGTCCAGACACTTTAGGTGTCTAGCTCAATGACATTTTTAATATGAATGTCCCTATATAACCACCACCCTGCTATGTGTTGACAGTGTGGGGTTTCCCTAATACACAGTTAAGTTCCTTTGATATGCTTTCCTAAGGATCAATGTCCAATTAAAAAGTTAAAAGCACACCTAAAACTTATCCTGAATATTTAGTTGTCGGGTAATTTGCAGTTAACAAATATTTGTATGGCTTACCTCTTGAACTTTGTACTCTGAATTTTATCCAGGATTTATTGAGACCAATCTCTCCTTCAAGACTGCAATTTCATATTTAGTCTCCAGATGTCACTCTCTGTATTATTTATTTCAGCCCACTGGGGGGGGGGGGGGGGGGCG